ACACATGGTTCGGCTCTCACAGCACATAAAATGCATGAAAATTTACGACGATGCCATCAAATTGACAAATGCAACACTATTGCTTTTTTATACCTTGCTGGGTCTAATTTAACAAAAGACAAAATTGCGAGCAACGGTAAGTTGTTGATTAATACTCTTATACAATACTAATTCGCAGATTAAAGTATTTGAAGAATCGCTTTTGTTTAATGAAATGATAAATAATTCCCGAATAAATTAATTCCCTTTGTATGGAACCTTAATGTGATGCGATGATTTATTAATTTGAAAGATTCTGCAAAATAAACTTTCTGTATTGCTAATTGTATATTCCACTGTGATTTCTAGTTATTTTTACATTTGGCTTATATCTGGTTTCTGGCTATTACAGTTACTAAAATTCCTTCATTCTTAATGTAAACAATGTAGACAAATATAAATATACATATAATTTTTTTTAACCTGAAGAACGCTCAAGGAATATCCTATAAATCCAAAAGCAAATCCCCAGTTAATTCCATCTGAATATTTTGATAGAAACATTACACATCCAATAAAACCTAGAATACCTAAATTGAAAGAAACAAAAAAAAAAAGCATAGCATGACAAATACTTTGTAGTTCATATTACCTGAATAGTGTATGCTCAAAGATATGTTAAGTATGTCAGAGCTCAATACTTGTCAATACTTGTTTTGCCTACAAAATTAGCATTGAATTTTTATCTCTTTATCAGACTCACTGTAGATTTTATCACCTTTTTTTTTTATCTAATTATGGTTATATTTCATAATGTTTTGATAAATATTATTTTGATTAACGATTCGTATACAACTAATGCATTATTCGTTCAATGTATTTTCGCTCTGACTGAAATGTACACCTGCTATTTGATGAGCAAATAATACCATTCCAATGGTGCATTTCCGACAATTACTGTCGGAATCCCAACAGTTCAAACAAATTGTAGACACAAGGAAAATTGACGTTGGTAGGAATATCCAGTTACTGGCCAAAAGTATCTTTGTAACGACATCTTAAAAAGAAAAAAAACTATTACATTCCTTTGTTTACCATAGACATATATTCCATGATTTTTGCTAAATTTTATATAATATGTCTCGAAATTGAACATTTACATTCCCGGTTGTCAAGTGTTTTTTAACATCTAAAAGTTAAAATATGACTTTTATTGAATTTATACTAGATCACTTTATGAATAGTGTTGAAATAACTTTTGATCTGAAGAAACCAAATTGTGCTTCTTTTTGTGAAGAGAAATCTTACCTATACTACATCCACGACTATCTGGGAAAACTGAAACACATGTATCAGGTGTCTTAACCCAATTTTTATCGGTCAAACTAATGATCACAAAACCCATTGATAGAAATGCAACGCATCCTAAGGTGATACAATATGCCGTATTCGAACACATTTTTATTTCAGAGATTCAAAATTAAATCCATTTTTAAGAAGAAAAAAATCAACAGGGACTTTTAGCTGCACTAAACAGTTTCCCCCATATATAGAAACTGGCATGAATAATCACAAGATGCAAGTATGCAAATGCCGATAATAATTGTGACGTGTGATCTTGTATGTGACGTGTAATTATTAATTGTATTCTGTGTTATCAAGTGCTTCAGTGAAATACAAGATATCACACTAAAGATATGGCATTTGATCAAAAGATTACTGTAAGTTTATAGTGGATGTTGTTTTGAAAACAAATCAGTAATACAAAAGCTACAATAAAATTATGGAAAGATAAATAGCTATTTATTTTCGTTAAAGTTTCTAGGAGTTGGAATGTTTAGTCAATGCCGACCACAGGTTTATTAATCCCCACCGCCCTCCGCTCATCCTCAACTTCATGATACGGGTTCTATCTTCGTATAATCTGATTCTCCAATAGTTTTAGATCTACATTGTTGAACTTTAGCACCTTGAATTTTTACATATTGATGATGTGTACCACTTTTTGGAATAATTTCAAAAAACTATATGCTATTTTTGATATTGATTTTTTTCTCTTGCCTTTGGTATGAATAGTATATAACGTTTTAAACCATTCAAAAATGCAGCTTTCGTTATTTAACCATGAAACTTTGCACAGAAATAAGACTCAGATAAAACATGTGCAATTATTATCGGTACAATGATAAGTAAAGGATAATAAAAGGATGTTGTCAGCTGTTGATCTTTCCAGTTATTTGTCTGTTGTTTGTATCTGTAATCTGAAATTTTGTTTGCTTTTAATTGTTATAACTTGTTAATAACGTACAATCATTTTTAAAATGAAATTCTTAAAAAAAGAATGATTTTTTTGCTTGTTGAATGTTGGGATTCCCATGGGTATTCATTATGCTCTGTCCTTAGCAGATCTGTTTTGGTATCCTTATAAATTTTGTTTACAACATTCTGCATGAAAAGAAGCCGTCTATTGCTGTGGCCTTCAATTCAACATTTAGATACATGTATATCGACTTTGGACTTTAAACTTGAATACTGTTGGTTATCTCCATATTTCATCGACGACACTTTATCGATTAACAATATTCGCTTTTATTCCTACGTTGATTCTATATATCCCATTAAATTCGAAACAAAAGACACTGCAGTGTGTGACACATCCGTTTCATATTTGGGTGTTTTACTAGAGAATGACATTGATGGCAAACTAACAACTTAACTTTATGTTAAACGTGATTACTTCGACTTTTCTATAGTCAACTTCCCAAATTTATATGCATTATACCATTTTTTTCTTCTGAATTCCTTTAAGAATGCCAAACAGTGAGATAAATTTAAAGAGGTAGATTTCGATACTCTGTCAGAATGGATTAAACGTTTAAGATATATATTGAAGAATCGCATTAGAAAATAAAGGTTCGTTTTCAGTACACCAGAAGTGATAAAAGAATAAGACAGACTACAAGAAAAATGTTTGGATTCCAGCTGACAAAGCTTGTATGATATTTTATTGGACTTCGAATCAAAAATCTATTATAATGAACATTCTGATCGGTCAATTGTTGAACATCAAGATCTTTCTCGTGAACAAGTGTCACCAAATGTTCTATACAAATAATTCTTACATATTTAACAATTAAATGAAAATATATTTCACTACAAGTATTAATACAGAAACAAATTGAATCTAAAAGAATATTCAATTTATATCAAAATACAGTCGTTCGAAAAATACTCCCACGCAATCTCGATATATTTATCGATAATACCACAAATTATGAACATTAATTTATCAATTAATTTTACAAGTTTTTACTCCGGAAGTACTTCGTAAGATAGAGTGTCAAACAATGTGCAAACAGACGTTTAGACTATTTTACAGGTATCATAATAACAATAACACTAAGTGAACAACATTTACAAACTGCTTCACAAAGATATAGCCTTACATCGTATATGCAACAACAGATTCACGAATAAAACATTTAAATAACGAACAGTAATCGATCTGAAAAATCCATAAACAATACAAATATGTAAAGAGGGCGTAAAACACGTACCCCTGGAAATTCCAGATGTGGGATCAGGTGCCTAGCAAGAGTAAGCATCCCCTGTTGACCGGTCACTTCCGCCATGAGCCCTATGTATAAATCAGGTAAACGGCACTATCCTTAGTCAATTCAGTACAAAAACAAAGGCCTAACCATTGGTATGAATCAAGTCAGCAAAAATACGACCCAATGATAGATTATATTTGCTACCAAGGTCATTATAACAACCATAAGATTTACGAAATGCTGACTTTAAACGAGGCTGTTGAAATCACTGTGTCATCAACTTATTAGTGAGTAGCCTCTCTCACTTTAAAAATTGATCGTACTCAGAGCAAGCTCTTGAGTAGCGAATAAGTTGGGTGACATAAAAACCATAAGCTGGTGATAGTGGAATATAACTACATAAATAAGGACAATGACGATGAAACAGCTAAAGTCATCTCGTTTATCTTACAATTTAGATATAAGTTGGCCGTTATCGTCTACAATCTGTAAAACATTAAAATATGAAACAGATGTGGCAGACTATGTAGTGTCTTTAATTTCGAATTCACATGGATACATCAAGTGGATATAGGAAAGTAAGTATTGTTTATTAATAGGAGTACTTATACTGTTGCTGCTCTTGGTCATTACAGTGTCAATTTTCACAGTATGAAATACATGGAGATAACGAACAGTATTCAAGCTCAAAAGTCCATTTAACAATACAAAATAGGAGCAGAGCAATCACGGACCTCCAAACATCAGAGGTGGGATCAGGTGCCATGGAGAAGTGAGCATCCCCTGCCGACCGGTCACACCCGCCGTGTGCTCCTTGTCATGATCGGGAAATAACGGAAAAATCCGTCGACAATTCAGTGTGTAAATAATGGCCTAACAATTAATATGAAAAACGTCAGTCAGCATATGACTCGATGATAAATTGTATTTGCTGACAAGGTCATTGTATCGACCATAGAACTTACGAAATGATGATTTTAACCGAAACAGCTGATATTCTTGTTTCATCAACACGATCATACACGTTCTGTCGCTGATCTTGGTTCCTGCCGTGTGTATGTGTTTACTTCTGTCCGAGAGACACCACAAGAGATCATCACCAAGTGCAATTAAATATAGAGGACTGTACTGGACTTTAACAGAGTTGAGGTTCAAGCGGAATACAAAAGAACACAATAAGCAACAATCTGCTATCCTCTTTATATCAGTACTATTTTTGTGAAAGCCTTTTCTGGTTTATTAAATCCATAAGTTTGACATATATATCATACTTACAATTCAAAAAATATTGTATAAGGATTATGAAATGAAGTCTTAAAATTTTAAAAAGATTAATTGTTTTTCAATCATGGCTAAGCAGTCACATGGAGAACATGTGAAATCAACAGACAGTGATATTTGACAAAGATATGACAAAACCATTGAATGAACCTAAATATTCCGATAAGCAAAAAGGTATGTAAACAGCCCCTGAAGAAGGCATGTATACGTTTAGCTGGACAATCTTGTCAGTGGCCAGTAAATATTTTATCAGTGAATTTATACATGATAGAAACTCTGCTGCTAAAAATATTTAGATTTCCAAGAGACCTCCTAATCATGTTATGTCATCAACAAACGCCAACATCAAAATGGAGATAGGATAAAAAGTATGGATTAGAAGACACGGTAAATATGCACAGTTAGCTCATGGTGGTTTTTGGATGTTTCTTTTCTCTATTTACTGAAATAAAACATGTCGGATACATTGTAATTTTTAGGCCCCCGTATCGAAGATTCGAGGGTTTATAGTTTTTTTTTCTTTTTTGTATCAATTACCATTTGCAGCATCAAAAACAGAACGATTGACGTTCTTGAATATAATCCTTATTCTCTCTCTCTCTCTCTCTCTCTCTCTCTCTCTCTTGATCTTGAAATAGCTTGTTTCTTATTTTATAAAAATTGACGTTTTTCCAAATTATTCTCCTTGCCATCACTTTATAAACTTGATATCTCCCTGATCTTTGACACGACGTTTTGTCAAGAAAATGATTTTATCCTGTAGAATATTACTTTGAGTTAAGGTCATCTATTTTTTGCGTCATGTTAATGAAAAACATTCAGCGCGTCTGCTGATACCACCTTACTTTGTTCTTATTTGTAGTGTAATAACGTATAAAAATAGTATTCATGATCTGGACACAGTATGAAACTCGATATACAAGAAGGCTTAAACAAGTACATAAACCTACAAAATTACTTTCGAAGTCAAAAAAAGTAACATGAAAAGTAGAGACTTAAGGTAATTACAGGCGTACATTGATGAGTCTAGATATGCCTGATTGCAAAACATGATGTTTATGTCTCCCAACTTATTCGATACTTAAGAGCATGCTCTAAGTGTAATCAATTTTTAAACCGATGAAGCCTATTGACAATCTTAACCCTAAGTTGATGTTACAGGGATTTCAACAACCTCATTTAGAGTCGGCATTTTGTAAATTCTATTGTCGTTTTAACGACGACCTTGTTAGCAAGTATAACCTATCATTGGGTCGTATATTGACTGCTCTTAGGCATTGTTTTTATACTAATTCTGACAAAGGAATATAATATTCCGTCTACTACTACTGTCCACTGACCTGAATACCTATTTTTTATACATTGTTACATCGCAAGGAAGAACAATAAAGACCTATTCTCAGCCAAACCATTTTATAAAAAAAACAAAGTGGGTCGTGCAAAGGCACATAAATCGTTCATTAATAATATTTAGATTTGCTAGATAATCTTAACTCAAGGTCATATTGTACAAGACATCACTGGTCATTGAGATGAAGAGGTATTTTCTGGCCCTGTATTTGGAATGAGTTCAAACTTCATATATTTCTACTGATGACATATATACATTTCCAGTTGTAAAGTAAGTCATATCTCACAGATTAAGATTATTTTAGAATCATAAATGGGTGGTCAGGGGTATAATGGGACAAGGTAAAGACATATGTGTCTATCAAAATGTTTTTAATAAAATTTAAACCGAGAGAGAGACAATAAGCAGTATCATTTGGAGATTGTATATTCATGTCTTTCGTTCTTTGTTTTAATTCTCTAAACTTCAATCGATTAAAAAGGATTACATGTAATTGTATCATTAGAAAAAATAATAATCGGAGATAACTAACAGTGATTAGTCCCCAAGAACCCTTTAAACAAAATAAATTGTAAAAACAGGGCAAACACACCGACCCCTGGAAACACCAGACGTTAAATCATGTGCCTAGGAGGAGTAACGCCCCCTGTGGACTGATTATACGTGTTGTATGCTCTCTGTATTGATCAGGGATCATTTCTCTAGGAGGAGTAAGCATCCCCTGTCGACTGGTCACATCTGCTGTAAGCCTTCTTTATATTGATAAGGGATCGGGAGCCTAGGAGGAGTAAGCATCCCCTGCCGACTGGTTAGATCTGCTGTAAGTCTTCTTTATATTGATCAGGGATCGGGAGCCTAGGAGGAGTAAGCATCCCCTGTCGACTGGTCACATCTGCTGTAAGCCTTCTCTATATTGATCAGGGATCGGGAGCCTAGGAGGAGTAAGCATCCCCTGTCGACCGAAAAAACGTTCTGTATGCCCTCTGTATTGATCAGATAAGCTCCGCAATCCGTTGTCAAAATAAAGATAATGACAAAACAACTGTTCAATAACGACAGTATTTGATTTTACTTTTTTTAAAATCATGAATTGATTTCTATGTTTAAATCACTATGTACATTAATATTATCAGAACTCCATTGTTAAGTATCTTTGAGTAATTCTTATTACATAGGGCACTCTAAAATTGATTTATTTATAATTACTATTTCACAACAACTGGGAAAAATAAATGCCAGTAAAAATATGACCCAAGGATATGTTGTATTTTTGGAAAATGGGTATTTTATTTCAATGAACACATGACTAATGTTTATACTTTATTTCCAGAAAAATTACTCCAATTTCCACCACGAGCAAATTTGCCGTAGCTACCCCATGTTCTAATCCATACTTTGTCTCCTTTATTCATTTTGATGTTGGCAGAATTTGATGACGTAACATTACCAGTGCGTCCTCTTCCATCTGAATAGCTAAAAAGAACGGGTTTTCCATTATGTACAATCTCACTGATGAAATATTTTCTTTCCCATGTCAAGATTGTCCAGCTGAACTTATAGATGCCTTCCTCAGGAGCGGTAAACACACCTGTCTTCTTATCATAACCATTTCCTTCATTCAAGGTCACCTTGTCAAATATCACTGTCTGTTGATTGCCCAAGTTTTCCAAGTTACTGCTTAGTGACGATTGAAAAGCAATTGACCCTTTTTTTATTTAAAATAAGAAAATATTTCTGTGAAGTCCGATAATAATAAAACAATATTCTTAAATTGAAGATATTCTATATAAATAAAAATTATTCATACTATAGTTTTACCTTTGTTGTCCGGTTTGCAGTTTTCGTTTTCATATCCAAGTCCAGTACAGATTGTCCTGTAGTTATTGCACATGGCAACAACCTGTTGTGAAGTCTCCTGGACAGAAGCAAACACAGCAGTGACGAAGATCGTCAACAATACAAGTACACTGTGAAAAGAACCACGACAATGATCAGAACCAACAACAGTACCAGTACACTGTGGAAAGAAACATGACAGTGACCAACATCATCAACAGAACAAGTCCAATGTGGAAACCACGGAATAATAAATACTTTAAAATGTATGTATTAGGGATCAAGCATCTAAGAAAAAATGCATCTCTACCTTTTCATATTCGTAGTATATGGAAGTCATTAAGTGTTTGGAATAGAATAAATGTGAAATGCTATGTAATGGAGAATTTATAAGTATCTATAGATCGTCAATATCAATGTTTCATCACGATTAAAGTATCACATTTAAAAGGACATTCACGTAAAAATGTAATTTGATGGTAAAAATAACAATGACAAAGAATTTATATATAATGTTGAAACTTAAGCGTAATTATATTTAGTATGAAATTAAAAAGAAAAGTTCAATACCGTACCAGATAAATGTACAAATCATATACATAGATGACGATATAACTTTTTTGGCAATTAAATTATGAAATGTATTTTTTTTTTTATGATTTGTATATTGCCTGTTAGTTTATTGTATTTTCACAGAACAGAATCACACACCTATAATAAACTTTTAAAACAATAATATCTTGCAACTGTGAAACTTTAAACCAAAATAAAGAAAGGAACTTCTCTAATAAACAATAAATTAATTAAATAAGCCAGCTATTTTCATTTTTAAACAAAATATCATTCCAAGGCTAACTGTTTCAAAATAAAGTCAGAAAACTTTTCAATTTGTACATGATACATGTCGATGAAATTAAGAAATAAGTACATTTACTGATGTTTGCAATTACATATATTTATTGAATGTACAGGAGTTAAAAAGGATAATCTGTTAATTTCACCATGAATTTCAAGAATTGAAAATCCAGGATAACTACCATACGGTTACGTTTTACTAATTTTTCCCCTGTTATGTTTAACGGCAGAATAATACCTGGTATTATTACTATCGGATGAGCTTATTGTGGCAACAAAGGTAAAATCTTCAAAAACTTTTTGATTTTTAAATTTTTGATTAGCTCAAAAAGGCAAGGAAGATCTAATGGAAATAATTGTGTACCGTAAAAATCAATTTACAAATTAATCAGTGGTTGAGAATATAATAGATAAAATTTGGGTCTATTTTGCCTCTCATTTGAATAAACGTTCAAATACAATAATTATTGTAAAAATTTATTATAAGGAATGTAATGACACTGTTCAGCATTTATCTTCATCGTCAGCTTACGAACAAAAGTGATTACAAATTTATTAGAAATGAGGAAACACTTCTTTCATCTCAGTTCTCATAATTCCCTTTAAATTAGTTGACTTTCCACCACATGACCGGCGACCAAAAGATGATTACTAAAGTTTCGACTGGGTAACTCGTTGGTTGTTTATTGAATATGAAGAAAACGAACAGTAATTAAGCTCAGAAGACCATTTATTTATTATTTATTAAAAAAAAACAAATACATATATAAAATATATCTATACAACATGTATATATTATTAAGGCCTGTCCATTTGAACTTCGCTAAGGCAGTGTTAAGGAGATGGAACAGAGATTAAGCAAGAGGTGAATGAAAAGGGGAAGATGAAGAACAATAATAAATCTCAAAATTCTTGAAAACAGTACGAATGGTGAATAAGACATACTGTACTTGTTCATAAATTGATGTATTCAAAATTTAGCGTATTCACCGGGAATCACTGGCGTAATCATGAATTAGCGCTACATAAATCTGCGCCGTGTATCGTATTTATAAATGATTTATTATCGAAATTAATGAATTAGCGCATTGTTGTGCGCGCTAAAGTCACTAAAATATGAAGCCCGCTACATACAGTACAGTACACATACAGTAAAACACGGACCCCTGGAAATTCCAGTGGTGGGATCAGGTGCCTAGGAGGAGTAAGCATCCATTGTTGACCGATCACACCTGCCGTGACCATATGTATTGATCATGTAGACGAAACAATCAGTAAAATATATTATGAAAAGAAACAATGGTCTAACAATTGGTATGAAACATGTCAGTCACAATATTAGTCAATGATAAGTTGTTTTTGCAAAACATAAAATTCTCAAATTTGATCGTACTCTGAGCATGCACTTGCTTATCGAATAAGATATTTCGACATATTAATTTTATTGAAGACCAATCATAAGAGAATTTCCTAGTTCCAATTTGTATTGAGGAAGCAATTGCCTGCGATATCAAAAAGCCTGATCTTTATTTTTTCGTGAGGAATGGTTGTATAAAGAGTTACAAAATAATAAGTTTTGATGTTGCTGACTTTGTAATTTTCAATTTTCTAAAAGTTCTTTGGAGTTTTTGAGAATCCATTTTGATTTACATCACTTCTTGATATGTTGTTTCACAGTAGGTCAGAAGTTGTGAGGTAAATCGACAAGAATGTTAAAAGTATTAGTTTGAAGAATCTCATCCTTTGAACGTGAACACTTTTAGAATATGCTTTAGTACAGTAGTCTAAAGTTACTCCTTTACAGTGGTTAATATTTTTGTAAGGAGTAAAGATATGGGCTTGGTAGAGTATTTGCTGGACCCGGCAATGTATCCTTGTAAGGATTTTAATGAAGTTTAGGAATCCAGTATAGGTACAGTAGATTGAACGCACCTTGATTGACTGGAATATTAAAAGTATTTAACACTGAAAGGGACTTTAAAGAATTCCATTCCATGTGAGTGTAAGTTTCATTTCCAAAGGTAAAAATAAAACCAAGTTCTTCAAAATGACGATCTTCCTTACGGTCCATAAAATTCTTGAAAGAGTAGTATCGCTGAAAACAGTATCATAGGATATGAAAGGGAAAAACATTTAGGTATCGACTATATCTTTGATATAACTGTCAAAAGCTAAAGCAGTTAGTTTAAAACAGTACAGCTGCAGTTCAGAAACAATGGGAAGAATATAATTTATATCATTAATATTCAACATGAAAAAGAATATTTGTTTCATGAATTATTTCTTGGATTATGAATAGCCTTCATTGTCAATTTTTAATTTTAGTTAATTTGTGAACAGGGCATAAACCACGGACCCGTTTTAATTCTAGAGGTGGGATCAGGTGCCTATGAGAAGTAAGCATCCCCTGTCAAACCCACCGTGAGCCCTATGTATTGTCAGGTAGATGGGTTAGTATTCCGTAGTCAAATGTATTATGAAAACAAAGGCCTAACAATTGGTATGAAATTTGTCAGTAAAAAAAAGACCCAGTGATAGGTTATTTTTGCTAAAAAGGTCATTATAAAGACAAAGCTACGAAAGGCTAACTTCAAACGAAGTTGTTGAAATCTCTCTTACATCAACTTATCTGTCAGTAGCCTGTCTCGGTTTTAAAATTGATCGTACTAGCAGCATGCTCTTGAGTATCGAATAAGTTGATGAAGTTGAGTATCGAATATGCAGATGATAGCAGAATATTACTACATAAATAAAGAAAGTATGAGAGAAAGAGCGATTGAAGCTTTAAAGTCATCTCGTTTGTCATAGTGTTTAATTGTTGGTTTGCTGTAAATAAATCATCCAAATATGAAACATGTGGCAGATTCTATGGTGTCTTGTATTTCGAGTTCGCTGGGATATATCGAATCGACATATGAATGGAAGTAACTTTCGTTAATTGATAAAACAACGTCAATATATATGAATGTCGAGTTGTAGGCCTCAGCAAGTGTTTTCTTCTTATGTAGAAGTTTTTGAATAAATTATACGTCATAGAAATAAAGACAGGTCGGCTAATATATGAGTAAAATTAGTGCTCGTCGCAATTCCAACAGTTTGTTGGAAGACCGGGTCTCAAAAAACTACATATATGTTGTCAATGTGAACGTAAGCATCCATTTAATATCAACTTCAGAGTACCTGTGTGTAAAATCAGAGGGATTTTGTGATGATTAGATGAAAATTTCCGAGTTCCATTTCTATTGAAGAAGCAGTATATGATATCAAAAATCCTAATTTTGAATTTATCATGAGGAATGGTTGTATAAAGTGTAGAAAAGTCATACGTTTTGATGTTACTCACCTTTGAAAACCAAATGTGATTGTTTTAATTTTCTTAAAGTTCATTGTAGTTTAGAGTCCACATGTTTTACACGATTTGTAGAATATGCTGAAACTGTTTCTACTTTACAGCAGTTATTATTTTCGTTAGGAGTAAAGACTAGGGGTTTGTTAAAGTATTTGCTGGACCCAGTTATGTATCTTAACGGTTGTATTTTTTAAGCTTAGAAATCTAGTATAGGTAGGGTAGAAAGACCTCACCTTCGTTGACTGGAATGATAAAAGTATTAAAGACAAAAAATGCGATTAAGCAATAAAAAAAAATCATCCTTAATAATTCATCCGTAATCTAATACCAGGATGAATGCAATTATCTATATGTAAAAGTAATAATATCAGTAAAGGCAAAGAAAAAGAGAGCAGTTAAATAAATTACTGAATAAAAAAAATAACAAATAACAAACAGTGCTTTAATTCATGAATTCAAAGTGGTTCGTTATATGCTTGATATTTAGCTTATGTTGTTTGTAATTGAAATTAAGATATAAAAAAAACTGAGTGGGTCAGGTGCAAGTAGAATAACTTTTCAGAACTATTTGTTTCAATTTCGAATTCCCTGATCTATCTTTTAGTCCAATGAAGGAAAAAATAAATCCTTATGTTCACCTGGAAGGTCCTATGCAGATGAACATTAGGCCATCATTAAAAATATCTTTGTTTCCCCTAACCTGACCCTAAAATCTCAAGTTGGGTAGGTAGGTAAATTATTTTTTTTTCTGAAAACACTTTTGGAAAAAAAAACATTCTGAAAAAAAAAAACGAATAATATCTTTATAAACAAGACAGAAGAATTCGATTTTTAAACCGAATATCATACAAATGAAATTTAAAAGCAACACGCATGGTAAATTAATTCACAAATACATGTTTTATTCATTTGAACTTGTGAAATATCTCGGGCCAGTGTAAAGTTTTTGATATCGAATATTTACAAAAAGACAAGATTTGCAAATACTCAACCATCGGACATCACAGTTTGAAAATGAAAATGCAATCGTCATAGAGCCTTCAATGTCTTATTCATTCAAATCCGGACTATATAATAAAACAATTATGGACTCTTTCGGTGATGAATATGGTTTGTTATTCACCAGAAAAATGTCA